ATAATAATAATAATAATAATAATAATAATAATAATAATAATAATAATAATAATAATAATCATGTGATTACTTAATCAAGGTTTAACCGAGACTGAAAGTACCGGGCCTAGGCGTCCCTGCCATAATTTTAGAAATTTAATGTCGAATTTAGTCAACTTTAAACCATCTGAACTTATTTAAAAAAAATCCGTTTAAAAAATGGAACACCATGTATATTTTTATCCTATTTATTGTCTTATGACTCTCTCCATGAATAAATAATAAATTTAAAACATTCTTTAACAATAAATAATACTCAAATAAACATTCACTGTATGTGTTAAATTGACAAAAATAAACTGACAAATTAGGTGCTTGTTTTTCAAGAAATTATGCGATATTCGTTGACTGCACGAAAAACAGTAAATACCTTAAAAACCAGAAGAGACAGGTATAGGGAACCATTATACCATTCGAAAGAGAACAAAATTGTTCATCAGGTTGCGTAAAAATATACAGGGTGTTCCACTAAAAAAAAAGAGTTAAGATGGTTTAAAGTTGACTAAATTCGACATTAAATTGCTACCACCCTGTATGAAATTAAGTCATTTTGAAATTATGGCAGGGAAGCTTAGAGTTTTAGTTATGTCCCCAAAAAATTGTATCACTCTAACTTTATTATTGTAAAATACACATCTTTGTGAATTAGAGTGCTTTTTTAATTTAAAAAAAAATAAATATATCCAAACGGTTAACTTTAAGAGTAGGAAACCTTTGTGTAAGTTCACCCAAAAATTGACGTATAATACAAAATTGCAATAATATACAGGGCGTTCCCTGATATAACGAAGATAACGTCAACTTTCGGTATAACCGGAAGTGTTAGGTGGACGTCATTATTTTAATTGAGAATGGCATGCCCGAAAACACTATTGCCCAAATTTTCAAAATTAAAATCGAAGTAGTGTCTACAATATGTCCAATGTCACCGTGGGACACCCTGTACAATATTTTAAGAACATTTTCAAAATATTAATTTGCTCTATGAGATGAGTTTTTTTTCCTGTGGTCCATGGGCCTAACATGTTTTGTTTTTGAGATACAGGGAGTCAAAAATAATTTTAAGAATTATATTTTACAGAGAGATGTCACTGAGAGAAATAGTAGTTAGCGTCCACTAGCAGATGATCAAAATACTGACGATTATAGAAAAGAATAAGCCAATAAAGTTCTGTTATTGGAACTATTGTAACAATTTACCGCGGCATCAGCAGGGGAATGCCTTGAAATTTTCCACTAATGTCTTTCTACCTCAGGTGTCTAATGCGGTTAATTCCAAGAAGGTGATGCAGGGGTCCTCTTGGAATTCTGTCTCAACAAATATCGTACGAACTATACCTGTACTAAATTTCTATTGTTTAAAAGACATACAAAAAATCATATTTTTTGTATTTTACCACCCTCTACTTTTGTATCAATTTACGTAACACCCCGTATATATAATTATCCTTCAGGGAATATTTTTAACATGTTATTTAATTAAATTTTTGATGAAAATTCCCAAAAACTAGACCTTTGAGAGATCTACGTCAATTTTTTAACTAACAACAATACTTTGGTAAATATTGTAACAATAATTGTTCAGAAAATACTGTTGTTAGTTAAAAAATCGACGTAAATCATATATTTCCAGTTCTCATTAAATTTCCAAAATTCTAGTTTTTAGATAACTTTGACCAAAGACATGTTAATAATAATCTGTGAAGGACTTTAAATTTAAAAATCGGCAGAAGGGGATCCTATATGCAGCTCATTTATGGGAAATCGACAAAACATTAGACAATTGCTTGTACAAAACCACACCTGCAGGCTACATTGCGGTCTTATAACCCTGCCGCAAGAGCTTTTTACTGTGTTATTACAGGCACAGCCAATAAATCTACCTGCAATTTTACCGACCACCGAACATGAACATGGATTGGGGTCATCTCCCATAATCCCCGATACGCTTTGTAGATCTGACCATCGTTCTGTGGCAATAAAGAAATCTTGGTAAGTACTTAAAACAATCCATCAAGTGGAGCCAGGTGGTCATTTTGGTCAAAATTTTTTTGATTGAAATATCGCAGTCAATAAAGTGTATCGATTTTTTAGTGGTAAAAGAATTTTCAGCCGTACCCAAAATTACAAAAGTCGTGACATCCAAGAAAAATGTACAGGGTAGCCCATCGAAAACGTACCGCAAGGCATTACAGGGTAGTAATGAACTTTTCGGCAAAATCCAAAAACAGGTAAAGTTTGCTTCTGAGGGGGACAACTTTTGGCGCAAAAAGCATAGCAAAATCTTCAACCCCCTAAGTGGGGGTGCCATCCCCCAAATTTTTTTAAATGGGAATGGGGGTCAAGTGGGGGGTCATTAGAAAGGGCTTTTAATTCTCTATACATCGATTCTTACTTTTTGAAAATCGATCCATTATTTTAGAAAATATGCAGCTTTGAAAATACGAACAATATTTTTGACGAGAAATGCGAAAATCGATTTAATTTTACTTCAAAACTTACGGTATTAGCTTGGTAAATTCCTTCAAAAGAATTCTTTTTTTTTTTCTGATTTGCGAATTCTTTAGCCTGATTTTGGTGAGCAAAAAATTGTCCGCTTTTTGTTTCGTATTTAGATAGGCCACAAGAAGTTGCTAGATAACTGTCTTGTGACTTGTAGTTGAAGAGTACCAATACTGCCGAGTCTTTTAAATTGATTAATTATGGTGTACTCAATTCCAGAAAGAGTAGAAATTATTGAGCTTTTTTTCAAAAACAATGAATGCGGAAATCGGGTCGCCGAACTGTTCAACCAACGGCATCCTGAGAAACATGCGTCTGGAAAAATTGTTCGCGAATTGGTGGCCAAATTTCGCGAAACTGGCTCCGTTCATAACAAAAAGAGGCAGGTTGAAAATCCGGTACTAAATGAACCTACGGAAATAGCGGTATTGGGGCAAGTGGCAATGGATAGTACGCTGAGTACAATGCAATTGGCTACTGCGACAGGAGTGAGTCGTACAAGTGTCCAACGAATATTAAAAAAATACAAATTCCATCCTTATAAGATTCGGCTAGTGCAAGAGCTAAATGAAGACGATTTTGATCGTCGTTTGCAATTTTGCGAAATAATGACTGAACGAGCGATAAACGATAATTTCCTCTTTAATGTGTGTTTTTCGGACGAGTGTACGTTCTTCTTGAATGGTTTAGTGAATCGCCATAATTGTCGTTACTGGGCTGATACCAATCCAAGGATTTTCCATGAGACACACTCCCAACACCCCCAGAAGTTGAATGTATGGGCAGGTATTTTTGGAAATTCCATTGTAGGTCCTTTTTTCCTTCCTGGAAATTTGACAGGCGATATGTACTTGGATTTACTACAAAATGTCATCGACCCAGCTCTAACAAATATCATAGAGGACGACCCTGCTTACAATGAACACGAACTGATTTTCCAGCAAGACGGAGCTCCTCCACATTACTCGCTCAATGTGCGCAATTACCTAAATGAGACGTTTCCAGGACGCTGGATAGGACGAAGAGGTGCAATTGAGTGGCCCCCTCGGTCACCCGACTTAAATCCTTTAGATTTCTTTCTCTGGGGGCACATTAAAAGCAAAGTTTACAGCACTCCACCTGATACCTTGGAAGATCTGCGAGGACGAATCATTAATGTATGTCGCGAAGTAACACCGCAAGTGCTCCAGAATGTTCGACAACGGTTTGAAGACAACCTGTATCATTGTATGCAAGTTGGCGGACAACATTTTCAGCATTTACTTGACTAATACCGTAAGTTTTGAAGTAAAATTAAATCGATTTTCGCATTTCTCGTCAAAAATATTGTTCGTATTTTCAAAGCTGCATATTTTCTAAAATAATGAATCGATTTTCAAAAAGTAAGAATC